AAAATGTAAAATATTGCTAAAATAGTTGTATAAATGAGTAAATTCGACAAAATTGCAATAAAATTGAAAAAATCCCAAAAATTGCAAAAAATTGCACTTTAAACTTTTAGATTTGAATTCGTACTTACATGAAACGTATTTAAAACTTACTTAGCAATTAATTGAAAAAGTAGAAAAAAAGTTGCAAATGCAACATCATCCGTGCCCTAGTAATAATAATTGTTCACGAAAAATCTGTGACGTTACAAAGTATATTTACTTACTTCTCGTTGCAAAATTCTTCTTTCTTTTATCTTTGGTGTTAAATGATTTGGGAAATTAAATACAGTTGGTATAGCAGATTTTTTTAACATTTGTTTCCCACTTACAACAGTTAAATAGAAATCATTTTTATTGAAATGCAAACTACATAAAGTTGAGCTGGAAGTAGGTTTAAAATCCTTTCTTCTTACAGCATGTACCCATTTTTGAAGCCTCTCTTTCTCTTTAAGAGGGAACCTTAAATATCAAAATAATAAATGTACTTTTGTTTGAAATTATCAATGTGTAAATTCAATAACACTTTATACTAACTTGTGAAATGACAAGTCTCCCCTAACGTCACTTGAGCTAGTACAATTAAAAGCAGTACAATAATTCACCATCTTAACTTGCCCACTAATTGGAATTTATTAAAGTTAAAGTTTAAAAGTTTAAAACAAAGAACAAAACTATATTATTATTATTTATTGGTAAACAGTCGTATTGATAGTGTGATAAAAAGAGATAGCAACACCATTCTTATCTGCTGTCTTTTTCTAACAGGCCGTTTCGGTTATGTTTACATTGGTCTTATGGCGGGTGAGCATTCCAGTTATCATATAGTTCAATGGCGAGGACAATCATGTTATCGGATTAATTTGATAATAAGAAATACGCGGCCACTCGTTACAGTGTGACCGTAGGGAGGGAATATTGTGTTGATGGCTTTCCACAAGACAGATGATACCATGGTAACAATTGATAGGAGGTATATTAACATATTTTTGTGATAACAGTGTTATTGTTCTTATTAAATATTAAATTTTAATTTAAAATGAATAATTATTGTAAAGTTTGCATTAAAAAATTTAATAACCGATCGACATTTCTGTGCCATTTGGCAAGCAATCATCACGGACCATTTCCTCTTGTAAATGCCATAAAAAATGTTGACGAACACGCCTATAAAAGTAATTTGAAAACACTGTAGGTACTTACCTATAAATTATACCTACATATTTTCTGTTCTAGAGCCCATCGGTACCATACCAATCATTGTAAATGGATGCAAATCAAAGTCTACTACCAGCGACGAATGTTCAAACACACACCACCGCTACCAGTGCAGTATATGCCAAAAAAAATTCTCATTCAACTCACTGTATGTGCGGCACATCTCCACTCATATGCCAGGAAAGTATTTATGCAGTTATTGCCCAAAAGTATTTAAAAGAAATGATACCTTAGTAAGACACACAAAACATATTCATTTAGGCAATCTAACAGTGAACAAATGCAATACATGTTCAAAGAGGTTCAAATACAAAAGTTCATTGAAGGAGCATATAATAAACAGTCACTTAGTGAAGAAACAAAAACACATATGTAAGATCTGCAAACAAGGTCTATCTTCGAAAAAAACTTTACGATACCACTTGAACGCACATCATAATAAACAAGGATTTAGGTGTGGTGTGTGTGAGTTGACGTTTACCGCACCTTACAAGAAAAGTCGTCACAGCAAAACACATGTTATAATGGTAATAACTTAAAACAAAATACAATACAATAAATTATTTAAAAGATTTTTTTTTTCAGAACCATTAATGCATATTCCACTACTTTTTCACTGGCACCCATTCTCGAATCATAATAATTCAAATGGAACAGCAGTTACTGCCTCCGCCACCGTCAGGATCATTGTTGCAGATGGAAGTGGTTGAGTCTTCATATATTGAGTACAACATATAAGTGTAATGTTCCTCTCTACCCAAGGGGTCTTACACATAAGCGCGTTTTTTTTATCAAGGTGGTTTCGCCTAGAGCCCTAGTCCACCGTTTTTGTAATCTTCATACTGGATGCTAAAATAAAAATAACAATAGTTAATAGTTATTATGTTTGAATTATTAAGTTTTATATATTACCATCTTTTTAATATGTCGACTTTTTTGATATGGTTGATGGAACTTTTTTTTGCAAGTTGGGCATTCAAATGGTGTCACTGATGCGTGTACATTCAAATGATAATTTAATGTCTTCTTCGATAAAAAATTTTGTTGGCATACATTACAATTGAATAGTGGTGGATTTTTGGTATGCTTGTTTTTTACATGCTCTTTCAGCGATTCGACAGTGTCTACAAGTAAAAGCATGTCGGTCCTTCTCATGTGTGTTTTTATGGCGCATCATTGTATCTTCTCTTGTGAATGTTAATTCACAAATATCGCATTTCCATTTCCATTTCCGCTCACCGTGGATTGCTATATGCCTCGACAAGTGCGATTTGTACATAAACGACTTTTGGCAGAACGGGCATCTGGTTACTTTTTTAATACATTTGTTTTTCTCTAAAGACAGAAAAAAAGAATTTTTTAGTTACTAACATTTACACACCCACAGTGTATTACTGATGAGTGATGATATTGGACTGTTTAACTTACGCTTGTCAACACCAGCAACACAGAAATTAACTCCTGATAATAAATGATTATAAATTAAAACTTACGTTTGTTTTTAGCCAAATTGTCTTCATCATCATCATCATCAGTACTATCATCAGCGCTATTGTTATCACTATCATCATCACCAGCATAACTTGTCGAGGAGTCACTCATATCCTATAAAATGTAGAAACAAACCAGTATTAATTATTTAGTTATTAAAATTATAGAAGTAATTAATATATATTAATATATAAATATCATCTTACCATAATTTATGACCGGTTTAGCCGGGACAACCACCCTACTAGGTCCTGGCATTAATAATTCATCATCATTGACCAATTTATTGCATACTAAGGATAAACAAAATAAGTTAATGCCCACCTTTTTAAATCATAATAACATGTATTATATTAATTAATAGGTCTGGGATTTATATGTAATAAAAAACCAAAAATATGTACATATATGTAATTAAAATTACCAAAATATGGGGGATAAAATAAAGAATATGTAATAAGAAAAATTAAAAAATATGTTAACGAGTTAAAATAAACCAAAATTAAGTTATTAAGACTAACACGCATATAGTATATTAAGTAAATCACATAAATAGTGAATGTGTTTTTCTAGTTTCTAATTTATAAATTATAAATCAATTTGATTTAACTTTTATCGTAATGTACACTGTATACTTTTTTATTATTTATTAAATTAAACTATTTTTAAAACTTATTAACTTATTTATTTTTTAAATCAACTGAGAAAAGCTAAGTTATTTCAACTGTAAGTTCATAAGTTAATTAGAAAACAAACTAACTAAAGTTAATGCTTAATGTTAAAACTAATGGTGAATTAATGCCCATAACTTTAATTAAGAAACAAAATGGTTTTAATTATTTAATTATTACGATTTGCACGCATATTACCTTGTAATTTGTTGATGTTTTCTTCAGCCTGCGGATTACTTTGTTTTTTGAGAAGCATGTTTTTTCTATCTAAAATGTATTACCACATATTGATTTGGATGTTGTTAAACTTAAAAAAAAAAAAATTAATAAACTCTTGTTTAAAAATTAAAACTTACATTTATTATGTGCAGCAACAATAGGATTATAATCTTTTTCATCACTATCATCACTAGATGAACTAATACTCAGCTCTAAAATATAGTAACAAAATAGTATTTATTATTTAGTTATAAAGACTAACACGGATATAGTATAAGTTAATGCCCACCTTTCTAAATCATAATAACATGTATTATATTAATTAATAGGTCTGGGATTTATATGTAATAAAAAACCAAAAATTACCAAATTATGGGGGATAAAATAAAGAATATGTAATAAGAAAAATTAAAAAATATGTTAACGAGTTAAAATAAACCAAAATTAAGTTATTAATATTTAACAAATATTTTTATATACTTATTTCCTATTATGCATTATACACATACAATTTTTACGATATAGTATATTACCATTTAATTTTTTGAAATTTTGTTCTGCGAACTCAAGTTTCTCTGTAAATGTCTGTGCCGGTGTTGATGCTCGGTGTACCACTATAAGTTAAGCAAAATAAATATTAAAATTGTCAAATATAACACAATTATATTAGGATACCCACACTACCTTATTAATATAATTAAATATATATATTTACAAAATTATTTTATCAAAAAAACCTCAGAAGTGTTTGTATTATTATAGTACTGGATTATTTTTGTTTTAGTATTAATATTTAAGTTAAACACTTTTAAAACAAAAATTAAAAAATGTTTTGTACATTTGTACTGAAAAACTTACAGTCTTTGACAGCATCTGTGACTTCATGACTACTGCTGGGTCCTGCGACCATAAGTAGCTCATCATCAACTTTCACACCATCATCACTGGAGGCAATGCATTGTGTTATCATTTCTTCAATCACTATAAAAAATAAAATGTTATATATATTAAATAAATCACAATAATATGTATATTATATTAATTTCCACTATATTTACCGTCACGGACTGTGCAGCACACATTGCATAAACATTTTGCATTTTCGTCCCCAAAATATTCTGTACTATATTGAACTGTTATTTCTTCACCAGTTTTAATGTCATGGATAGCTTGTAAATAAATTTTACCTTGTTCTCGGGCTACGAATTTGCAGTTCGGAAAGCAGCTGTGGTTTACAAACGCTATTGGACCCAGAAGTAGGTGCGGTTCTTCTTTTTTGTTTGACTTGGCTGAGTATATTATTGAGAAATCATTAACTCCTGTAATGAAAAGTAAAAATAATTAAGTACCTACTTTGAAAATGTTAACATATTATAAACAATGTAACGTACCAGCTACGATGAGCTCTTTGGATAAAGGAAAATGATGACCACCGACATCATACAGGACAGTCCCTTTCTTTATGTACCACTTACTTACCACCATGACTTGTTTATAAAGTTCATGATGTGGTAAATAATCGCACAATAAAAAATGTACTTTTGATTCTTTGGCAACAGCAGCCTCATACATGGCCTTGTGCATGGACCTAATACGGTTGTACATCGGTCTATCTTCAACATCACCTTCCTTAAGCAACATTTTGTGGGACTTTATGCCCAAAACACTATCCACATAAGTCTCAGTGCAAAAATCGTCGATGTTTGATAAGACAATCGACTTCTTCATGACTGGGTATACCTTTAAAAAAAAAAAAATTAATTAAGTGTTGTTTGCATGCATATAAATGAGACGACGACGTTTGTACTTGAACGTATGAAAAATATAGTTGTAAACGTGTGTATTTAATATCGTTTCGGTGATTTAAATTAATATTAAAATATAATTTTATTCAGGTGTCATATATAAACAAATTGAAAATAGACGTAAATTGTACATTAAATATCGTTTTTCTGTAATTTACATCAATACGAAAACGTTATTACGACCCTACAATCTACATAATTAAA